GTCATCCAGGACAGACCAGGTGAGCGCTAACATTGGAAAATATATTTTGAGGGGAAGTAAAGGAAGGTAAAGGGGGTCACTTATATCATGAAGGGAGGAGACTTGGGGTGAATTTGGGTGGTGAACACCTGCTGCAATATACAGATGATGTATTATAGAGTTGTACACTTGAAACCTGTATACGCTTTACAACCAATGTCGTCCAGGTAAATTTAATAAAATTCAAGAATAAATTGCAAAAAAATAATGTAACCTTTATGCCATTAGCTTTTTTAACATAATATTTGAAAATTCTATTTTATTGATTATGCTATTAAAGCTATCCTTATTTTTCCCCTTTGCCCCCCTCCACCTAGAGTCCCCCACTCTCTCAGGTACCCCCCACCATTGTTCATGTCCATGGTCCATGTGTGTAAGTTCTTTGGCTGCTCCATTTCCTTTCTGTACTTCACATCCTCATGCTTATTCTGTAACTGCCTATTTGTACTTCTTAATCCCCTCACCTCTTCACCCATTTCTCCACACCCCGCTGCTACCTGAAAACTGTCAAAACACTCTCCATGTCCATGATTCTGTCTCTATTCTTCTTGTTTGTTTAGTTTGTTTTTTAGGTTCAACTGTTGATAGATATGTAATTATTGCCATTTTTATTGTTCATAGTTTTGATCTTCTTTTTCTTAAATAAGTCCCTCTAACTTTTCATATAATGGTTATAGTCCCTATAACATTTCATAGTTTGATGATGATGAACTCCTTTATTTTTTTCTTGTCTGCAAAGCTCTTTATCTGCCCTTTGATTCTAAATGAGTGCTTTGCTGGGTAGAGCAATCTTGTTTGTAGGTCCCTGCTTTTCATGACTTTGAACATTTCTTGCCAATCCCTTCTGGCCTGCAGAGTTTCTTTTGAGAAATCATCTGACAGTCTTATGGGAACTCCCCTGTAGGTAACTAACTGCTTTTCTCTTGTTGCTTTTAAGATCCTCTCTTTATCTTCAACCTTTGGCATTTTAATTATGGTGTGTCCTGGGGTGGTCTTCTTTGCATCTATCTTTTTTGGGACTCTCAGTGCTTCCTGGGCTTGCGTGTCTATTTTCTTCACCAAATCAGGGAAAGTTTTTTTTTTTCATTATTTTTTCAGATAGATTTCAAATTTCTTGCTCTTTGTCTTCTTCTAGTACCCCTATGTTGTGACCATTGGACTTCTTGAAGTTGTCCCAGAAGCTGCTTATACTGTCCTCATTTTTGTGGGGGGGGGGGTATTCTTCCTTCTTCTTATTGTTCTGTGTGGTTGTTTTTTGCTTCCTTATGTTCCAAATCATTGATTTAATTCTTGACTTCATCTGCTCTACTGTTGTTTCCCTATAAATTGTTCTTTATTTTAATTAGTGAATCCTTCATTTCTCACTGGATCTTTTTTATGCTGTTGAGGTCCTTACTAAGTTCCTTGAGCAAACTTATAACCAGTGTTTTCAATTCTCCATCTGATAGATTGCTTATCTCCATTTCATTTAGTTCTTTTTCTGGAGTTTAGATCTGTTCTTTCATTCAGGCCATGTTTCTTTGCCTCCTCATTTTGGCAGCCTCCCTGTGTTTGTTTCTGTGTATTAGGTAGGTCTGCTATGACTCCCTGTCTGGTAGCATGGCCTAAAATAGTAGGTGTCCTGTGGGGTCCAGTGGCACAGCCTTCCCTATCACCCAAGCTGGTGCACCCTTTGTGTGGGCTGAGTACACCCTCCTCTTGTAGTTAAGATTTGGTTGCTGTTGGCAGGTCAATGGGAGGATTTACCCAGGCCAGTCAGCTGCGAGGACTGGTTGTGACCACTGAGCACCACCCTCCATGGAGGATCAGCTGTGCAGGGGCAGGGTGGTGGTGCTCTGACGTGATCTATAGCCGTCCACTGGGTGTGCAGGCCCTGAAGTTTCCTGAATGGTGCAGGCCAAGGTCAACCCCCACCTGTGTTCTGCCCAGGGCCACCCTGCCTGAGCTATAAGGCAATCTGAGGTGGCTGCTACTTGTGCTGGGCTTAGAGAGTCTCTGTGGAAGCCAAGCTGTGAATCTTCGCTGGCTGCTGCTAGTGCCGGCCTGGGGCTCACTGAGGCCAGCTGTTGCTTGTTTGAGAGGATTTAGGAAGTTGTGAATCATGAACTAAGACCAGCCATTCATTTGGAAAAGAAGCGTGGGTGGGCCCATAAGTTGGGTGGGGCAGAGTCTCTGGGGATCTCCAAGATGGGTCAAAAAGTGCAAGCCTGATTGATGGAGTCTCATATATGGCACCAGCTTGACGGCTCTGTGGGAGGAGGGTTTAGCAAAGGGACAATGGCCTCTGCTCACCTTGATGCCAGACACTTCAGTTCCTCCCTGTGTACCACGGGTGCCTTTCAAGCTGCTACCCTGGTGCTGGAGCTCAGAGGGAGGGAGTCTGAGTAGGTTAGTGCATGTGTGGGCTCTTTTAAAAAAAAATGTTTTAAATTATATTTTATTGATTGTGGTATTAAAGTTGTCCTTATTTTCCCTCCTTTGCCCCCTCCACCCAGGGTCCTCTACTCCTCAGGCAACCCCCCCCCCCATTGTTCACATCCATGGGTCATGCGTGTAAGTTCTTTGGCTACCACATTTCCTATACTGTACTTTACATCCTCATGGCTACTCTGTAACTACTTATTTGTGCTTCTTAATCCCCTCACCTCTTCACCCATTCTCCCCCTACCCCCTTGCATCTGGCAACCTTCCAGTAACTAACTTCTTTTCTCTTGCTTTTCTTTTTATATTTACCCTTTGGCCTTTTAATAATGATGTGTCTTGGAGTGGGCCTCTTTGCATCCATCATAATTGTGATTCTCTGTGCTTCCTGGACTTGCACGTCTATTTCCTTCCATGTGTGGGTTCTTTAAGAGGAACTGCTTGGGACTCAAGCAGCTTCTTCCACTGACTCAATCCCCACTGGTTTTTGCAGCCAGAAGTTGTGGGGACTTATCTTCCTGGCACCGGCACCCTGGGCTGGGGGGCCTGCTATGGCGCTGGGACTCCTGGCTCCCGAGATATCCCTCCCGAATTTTTATCCACCGCATGTGAATATGGGACCAGCCTGTTCCGACTCTGCACCCCTCCTACCAGTCTGGATGGATTCTTTAATTCCATAGTTGTCCGACTTCCATTCAACTCAATTTCTGATGGTTCTGAGCGATGGTTGTTTTATATTTTAGTTGTAATTTTGATGTGGTTGTGCAGAGAGGCGAGCCATGTTTACCTACCACCATTAACATTTCAGAAGGAAGAGATACTGAATTTACAGTAAATGTAAACACATTTTAATGACCTAGTTATCTTTTGGGGTGTGTTCTGTGAATAAGCACCTCATTTAATTAGGAGAATAGATCTTTTTTTAAATAAAGGAAACCTATTTTGGAGATTGTCTTTATCCATACGTTACTTGAATTTTGAAAAGTCTTTTTGTTTGAAAATCATCACTCTCACAGGAAGTTGCAAACACAGCACAGGGAGTCCCATGTACTCTTTCCTACCCAGCGTCCCCTAATGGTGACATCTGACCTAACGAAGGACAATATCGCAGCCAGGAAACCGACCTGGGGACAGTCTGCCGACCTTATTCGGATTTCACCAGTTTTTTCGTGCACTGGTGTGTGTGACGACCTCAATTGTATCGGTAAAGGCAGAGAAACCTAAGGTTCCGGTTGGTTCTGCGTTGACCCAAGCTGCACGCCTGCCGAAGCTGGCGAAGGAGCCCAGGTCTGTCTGTCCAGAAGCCCGCACTTTTTTTTCTCTGTCTCCGAGGGGTGGACGGAGCAGTGGGACACAAAAAGTAAGAAATGACAACCCAAACATGGAACATTTAAACTGCAACATTGTCGGAGGATTGGTTTTGGTAACCAGGAGGGCCACGCCTAGTCCTGACGCTGACCGTGGGAGGTTGGGCAAACCGTTAAGTTTCCATCGGCTTGAGAGTCTTATTCATAAAAGCGGGGTGACCCGCACAGCCCCCCACGACCCTAGCCAAGGCTATTTGTAACGCAGACACAGTGCCCACAACAAGAAGAGTTCATTTTACACACACACACACACACGCATTATTTTAACCCCAACCTTTAGTAGCTCTCCAAAAAAAAAAATGTTCTGGTTGAGAAAAGGAATAGAAACTTCTGGATCTGGAGTTCGAAGATCGAAGTTAATCAAGAATAGTGCAATTACATTTTATGCCCATTTGAACTGTGGAAATCTGAACTTTCCTAAATAAGGCCTCATGGTATGCCCCATGGTTGAAATAGAGAACCCCACCCAATTAAAAAGAGTCAAGAATCCCTCAATGTCACGACGGGTGGGACTGAGGATCGTACACTGTTCCTAGCATTGCCACAGGGTGGCGCCAGGGTCTCGGGTAAACGAAGACGTACCCTGAGCAGACCCCGTGGGACCACTGGTCGTTCAGTGGGTGCGTGGGGACGTCTGAGTTCCGGCGGCCTCGGAAGCGCTGGGGCTGGAAAAGGCGGCGATGCGGTCTAATCACGCCGGCGGGGAGGGCAGCTGAGAGGAAGCGCTGGAAGGAAGCCGGTCGCTGGGGTGGCGGGGATGTGAGTTCCCGTGTGAGCCTTCCACGGGGTGACGGAGTGACAGCTGCATGGTAGCGCCGCGCCACAGTGCTTGGGTGCTGTGCTCTGAGAAGCGCCCCTTCAGCTTTAGAGCTTTTCTTCTGGGTAAATCGTTCTTGAATTATCTAATTTTAAATGATGCCAGTCTCTGGACCCATCATCCTCACGGAGTGGGAGCGGTGGGAATCGGTTGCCCTCTCCATCAGCTCTGCTGGGAAGCAAGCCCAGCCCTCCCAGCCTGTCCCAGAAAACCGGTTCACTCCGGGATACAAGAGAAGAAACGAACGGTTGATTTTAAAGTTATATTTTATTAATTATGCTATTAATTATGCTATTACAGTTGTCCTGATTTTTACCCCCTGGTCCCCCTCCACCCTGCACCCCCTATTCCCACAGGCAGTCCCCCCAATTGTTCATGTCCACAGGTCAGGTGTGGAAGGAAACAAAACAGTTTTTTAAGTTCCCCTTCCTGCTAGGTTGTGCTTACTGGCCTTCTCTCATTTAACCCCCACAGCTCCACCAGGTTCTGTTATTTAGCCATCCACTCCCACAGCTGGTCTTTTATCAGTGTCTTTTACTTCCTTCGACAGATGAGGAAACGGAGCCTCGGAGAGGTTAAGTAATTTGCCCAAGACCCCTCAGCTGGCCGTCTGTAGAGCTGGGATTTGAACCTGGGTCAGCTTGACACCAAAAGCTGCTCAGTTCCCGTGCACCAGGGTGCCCTGAAGCTATGCTCCTGCTGTCACTGCTGCCATCAGAAGTTCAGCAGGAGTAAGCAGATGTCTGTCAGTGACAAGGGTGGAGGGAAGGTATTTCTCAATGAGGTGTCGTTGCTCTTTCATAAACTGCTTCCATTTTTGGACTGGGTGAGTTTGAAGACTGTTTAGGTGGATGCAGTCACACCTTCTGTCCAGACATAATGTCACCACCCGTGGTTCGCGCAGCTGAGGCATGCCCGTCAGTGAACGCCTCCACCGGTGATTCACTCGTGAGATTGCATTTTAGCTGAGTCCACAGCCTTTTCATTTCATGGAGTCAAGGAGAGGCTGATGCAGCCGGCACAGCAAGGGCAGGTGCCTCCCAGTTGTCTGGGAGATGATAATGCCATTTCTTCACCCGATCTCCAAACACAGACGAGGAGCCAAAAGCATGAGATGCTGGATAATTTACCCGTTGCCACCTAACAGGCCAGCACCTGCCTTGTAAAACAGTGTCATCCTGCAAGTAGAGTGGCTGTGTTCTTGACTAAAATGAAAACAGATATGCAATTCAATTTCCCCTGTATGATTTTGGAGGACGTGCATACCATGTTTTTCTTTTCAAAATGTTTTTACATCTGTTATCGTAATTTCTCTGTGCACAACCTCCCTGTCTTGAACAAACGTTTATTATAGCACTTACACCCTGTGGTTAATGTTTAGTGTGTGTGTCTGCCTCTCCCGCTGGTTTATGACTTTCTTCGGGGAAGAGACCCTGCCACATTTTAAGCATCTATAATACCCTAGCACTTAACAAGGTATTGGCCAGGGCTTGTTTCCTTGAGAAAGATAAAAACCCACTAGATGCTATTTAAGCAAAAAGGGGGCTTTGTTTCGAGGAGCCCCAGGGCAGGGGTGCAGCTACGTCTTGGAGGAACAGAAATCAAATTCTCTCACAGGTCTGCAGCTCTTGCATTTGTCCCATCAACACCTCCTGTCTGCAGAGTGTCTTCCACTGCTCCCTGGTCCTCTAGCGTAAAACCCTGGCTGTCAGCATCTTCTAATGGACGTGCAAGTTGTCCGGCCCTGTGCTGAAAGCTTTATCACGCTCTTGGTCCCCATCTGCCCGGTCTCCAGGGATCAGGACTCTGATTGGTCCAGCCTTGCTGAGGTGTTCACCTCTAGTCCAATCAACTGTGGCCAGAGAGTTGCGCTCCAACGGTAGATGGAGGTTGTTCCTATGGTAACTGCAAAGTGCTGGCTGGAAGGAAGAAGGCCCAGCTCCCTGAGAAAGGGGGGAAGGGGCGGGGCAACCAATGCAATTGGGTCTGTGTCCTTGTATATACTTGGCGCTCCATAAATGCTTACCGATCTGCCTTTCTCTAAATGCTGCAGGATGCTGGTCTTCTTGTAGTTCCCCAAACACACTCCTGTCTACTGTCTTCTCTTCCCGGGGGCTCTTCCCCACCGGCACCCCCTCAGCCCGGCTAACTGCTGCTCCTTCAGGTCTACGTTTGCATTCACCCCCTTTTTGGATGGCCTTTCCTGACCGCCTTCCATAACACCCCGCTCTGCTTCTTCAAAAGAGTCACCGCTGGGTAGTTACTTGTTTCACTCTGGCCGTCTTCTCCGAATACTGTAAGTTCTAGTGTTCCCAAGGTCTCCATAAGCCACATGGACAACTTGGGGAGTTTATCCCCCTTAGGCAAAACTTTAAGCACTGGGAGGTGTGGCAAGTGATCACTTCTCACCCTTCTTCCCCCCTCGGACTGTCCCGAGATGAACTCAGGGTGGCTTTTGTGAGGAGGGCCCTGCCAGATGGAGCTTCCTCGTGTTGATAGTGGCTCCTCCCCCTCCTCCCCCATCTCTCATTTCTGCCCTTGGGGATCACACCCCCTTGTAAAGTAGTAGCAAACAGGCCTTTGCCCCAGGCCCCCCTTTCTGGCGGACCCCAGCTAAGGGAGCAACTAGCTGGCAAACATCAACATGAAGTGTGTGGGCTTTCGTGGCATCGCAGTGTGTGAGCAGCGTCAGAAACTCCTCCCGCCTCCGACGCCGGGCTCCGCTTCCCTCCACTCCGCCTCCGTTCTCACGCAGGCTTTCCCCGGGCGGAGGCAAGGTGCCCCCAGCGGCTCCAGAACGCCCCTTTCTGGGCGGTCTCAGCCGAAGTCCAGCTGTCGTGTGTGGGTTCTTGACTTCGTGCAGGACATGTTTCACAACACAAGTCCAGGGGACCATGAGGACCCATTTACTAAAGCTGGGGGCAGTGACCCAAGGAAGGGCTCCGCACAGAAGAAGCCACGGGAGAGGCTGGGCCGGGCTGCCTGAGCTCCCTGGGAAGTCGGAGGAAAGGGGGCCTTGGGGACAGGTTCAGGGGATCCGCCCGGGACACACTGCCAGCTGCGCATTGCCTCAGAGTCCAGGAGACGCGTGCCTGTGAAGAAACAAGTGGGGTGGGGGGTGGGGAAAGAACAGAAAGGGAATGTTCTGGCTACTCCCCAGAGGGAGAGCACCTGCCCTGGGTCCTTTGTCTGGAGGCTTTTCTCTCTCTTGCTGAAGGGAATCTCAGGGGAGGTGGGGGGGCGATCTCAGGAGAAAACTCATCAGTTCCCCAGGTGCGCCCTTCCAGGGTCATGGTCTGCTCTGATTGGTCAGCGCCAGGGCAGGGGGTCATTGCAGTCACTGCAGTGAGTCCCCGCCTCATCCACCTGGTTTTGCTGCTTCTCTGGGCCTGGAACCGAAATGCAACTGAGGCCTAGAGTCATCTCCAGGGAGGAAAGGCCAGGGGAGAAGAGGGTGCCCTGGGGGTGAGGTCCTTGTTTTCCCCCCTTGTTTCCCCCTGCCGGGCGCTCAGGCCTTCCAGCCACCCCGGTCACCCTCTGCCCCCGCTGGGAATCGCTCGGCCACTGCGTTCGGCTGTTTCTCTCGGCTTCCCTATCCCACTTGCCAAGGAGTTTTCCCGGCTTCCCCCTGTCCTGCCTCAACCACACTAACCGTGTCCTCAGCCCTTCTCCCGCCCGGCCCGTCTGTACGGCCCTATGCTGCCCCCTCCCAGCCAGCTCAAGTCCTGGCCACACCGGGCTCCCGGTCCCCACTCGCGTCCCGCCCTTTCTGGTCTGCGGTTCTGCGTGTGACCCTGCTAGAAGGACCTGCTTTGTTCGCCTTTCCTCGTCTCCGCTTGGTGAACTCGTCTTCGACATGCACCTTGAACATCCACCTGTGCTCGTCATCTCTGGCTGTGAGACCAGTCACCCCCAAACGTTGTGGCTTAACTCAGCATATATTTATCACCGCCCACGTGTGTGAGGGTCAGCGCCCTGCGTGGGGCCTCGATGGCTGGCTCCCATTCGGGGTCTCCCAGGAGGCTGCCCTCGAGCGACTGGCAAGCCTGCGGTCTGGCTCACTGGAAGGCTGGACCGGGGCCGGAGGGTCCATTTCCAAGCTCACGCACATGGGTGTCGGCAGAAGCCTTCGGCTCTCTGCCCCGTGGGCCTTTTCATGGGGCCGCTCGTGATGTGGCAGCTGGCTTCCTCCCCAGTGTGTGGTTCACGAGATTGAACCCCCCCGCCCCCGCACTACCACTGCCATTAAAAAAAGAAGAAAAACAGAGAGAGAATGAGTCTACTCAAGATGGAGGCTTCAGTCTTTTACACCCTAATCTCAGAGCTTTCAGACCGTCACTTCTTTATTAGGCACACAGAGCAACCCCGGTGCACTGTGGGAGGGACGGCACGGGGGTGTGAGAGCCGGCAGGTAAGGGGCACTGGGGCCACCTGGGAGGCTGTGACATGTCCCCGAGGCGGTCCTCGGGGGATCGGTATTCTGTACACGCTCCTTGCAAGGCTTTTCCCATTTGCATTACGGTGCCTCGTCTCAATCCTGGATTACAAGCACTCTGAGGGCACTACCTGAATCTTATTCACCTTTCCCTTCATGTTTAGCCCTGCGTGGCGTCTAATACAGACACTGTACTCCATTAATGTCAGATTAAAGCTTGGGGTAGTAGGCACACAATACAATATACAGATGATGTATTATAGAATCGTATACCTGAAACCTGTATAATTTTATTAACCAGCGTCACCCCAATCAATTCAATAAAAAAGACAAAAATACTAAGTACATGATTGAATGAATAAATACTTCAATGAATTAGGGACTGATTCAGCAGGTCAGTGGATAGTTCAAAAGGCAAGACAAGATAACATGGACTATTCTATGATTAATTCCCCCGATTTTCTGCTGGCTAAGATACCTAAGGAGTTGGTTGCTCAGACCTTGCTTCCTTTTTCTCTGGCTATTTCTCCTTCCCCTTCCCCACCACCCTGCGGTCACAGCATCAGGGAACTTGGTTGCTATCTTGGTGTAACGAAATCCTATTCCCTTGTCACAGCTGATTGGACCAGGGCTAGGCACCTGACTCGAGCTGGGCCAATGGACATCTCCAAGGGAGTCAGAATTTGGAACTAAGAGAGGCCAAGCTGCAGTCTGGCTGCTTCCTTGTCAAGAGAGAGATGAGTGACCGAGGGCTGTTGGCAATAGCAATTCTTTGCCTGGGGAGCAGAGGAAGTCCATCTGCCACAACGGAAAAAAGAATTCAGAGGAATGAATGAAGAGGGAGAGGAAGGGCAGGTTGCAAAAGCATGATCCCAGAGCCCGCTGCACCTCCAGCTGGGTCCCCGTGAAGTACCTTTATGCTCTTATGACAACTGGGGTTTACGCAACTGTATACGGGAGCTGGCCCCCCCGGCTCATGAAAACCAATTATATATATTTCGTCAATGACATCACATTAGCCACTTGAAATGGGCCATGGTGGCTGTACTTACATCACAGAAACTGGCCAAAGCTCCAAACCAGGGATCCCCACCGAGAGCTGGTCATTAAAGGTCTGCAAGGCTGAAGCATCTGCTGGGCCAGCGCCCACTCGTGTTCCACAGCCCAGGACCTCCCTTGTGAGGAGCCTCCGCTGGTGTTTGCGGGAAGCTAGTTTTCTGTGTCCTCAAGGTGCCCTGGAGACCCCATGTGACAGTCCAGAACTCCGGGGGTTACAGGACATAAGTGAAGGGTGAACTAGACACCCCAACTAGACGATAACTGCAGATGGCCCCGGGGTGAAGTCCGGGCTGTCTGGCATGGCAGGCGGACCCCCCTCGCCTCTCCGGGCCCCTTTCTGCCAGCTCCTCCCCCCAACTCTCCTCCCTCCCTACCCCCACCCCCTGACCTCCTCAACCTCCAGCCCAGAGGCTCTGTCTGCCTTCCGAGCTGTCAGTCAGCACAGACTGCCAGCCTTCTCCCGAGAGGAACCACGCCCAGACACGGAAACACCGGTGTGGGATTCCCGGACCAAATAGCTTCTTTTCTCTGAAGACTTTCTGACCCCCACATCCCATGCACCCCTGCTTTCCCCCAGACATCCTCTATCTCAGTACCTTCAGCACTTTCAAATTGAGTCTTTTGAGAGAGAGAGAGAGAGAGAGAGAGAGCGAGAGAGCGACATCAATGTGCAGTTGCTGGGGGTCATGGCCTGCAACCCAGGCATGTGCCCTGACTGGGAATTGAACCTGCGATGCTTTGGTTCGCAGCCCGTGCTCAATCTACCGAGCTACGCCAGCCAGGGCCAAGTCTTTTTTTTTTTTTTTCAAGCCAACAGCACCCAGTATTCCCAGGCTACCTTCCATCCAAGTACCAGCCAGGCCCGACCCCGCTTAGCTTCCGAGATCAGACGGGATCAGACGTGTTCGGGGTGGTAGGGCCGTGGACTATTTTTGAGTCTTTTGCTCCACTGGGGGCTCCTCTGGGGAAGCACCTAGCGTGGTCCTATCCCTGAGCACATGGGTGACAGAGAACTGACAGGGTGTGTCTGACACCCAGGCTCTAACTGTGAGATCAGGGTGTAGCTGCAGACGCCGCCTGTCTAAGCACGAGGAGGAGCGTCACTGAGGATGACATCAGCACTGCTGAGGGGAGCAGATGCCACCCAAGGCTGGGCCATGACACACACAGGAAATGCAGCACAGGGATCACTGTCTATTCCCAGCACCCAGAGACGAGCGGTGGCTAGCAGGGCGGGGAAGGCGCCTCGGGCGTGGCCCCATGGACAGACATGGCACTTTGGGGTCCCAGGAGTCTAGGTTCAGAATCTAGCTCTGTCCCTGATGGCCTGTGACCGGGAGCAAGTTGCCTTGCCTCTCTGAGCTCAGTTTTCACACCTGCCGAAACCGATTTACTGAGTCACTGTTAAGGTTCAAAGAGATGAAAGAATAAAAAAGAAAGAAAGAAAGAAAGAAAGAAAGATTAACAGAGACAGTGCCAGGACAAAAGAGATGGTTGACAAAAGTTCATTTCCCCCCTTCCTGCTGGTCACACACAACAGAACTCGACTCTCTGTTCTACCAAAGCAAAACGAGCAATTTATTCCTAAAAGTGGCTGAGACAGCTTATCACCCTCCAGTTTCCGTTAGTCTCTTTCTGACACGGTAAAATAACGTGTAGCTAGGTGCATAGTTGCTCAGCTAATAACTACACTTTTCTCCCCTGCCTCCCTTGCAGATGGGCACAGCCCGGTGACTATGTTCTAGAAGGCGGGGGCGTGACCAGAGGTGATATGTACACCTTCTAGGCCATGTCCTAAGGGGAAGGCACATACTCACCACTTCCTTCTTTTCTCCTGTGCCGGCTGGGACAGTGATGTGCAGGCAGGAGGCAGAGCAGCCATCTTGGTCTATGAGGTAAAGAATGTTGATGCTGTAGAGAAATGAGATAGAGAAAGTCTGGCTCTGGCTGGTGTGGTTCAGTGGACTGAGTGCCAGCCTATGAACCAAAGGGTTCAACTCCCTGTCAGGGCACAGGCCTGAGCTGCAGGCCAGGTCCCCAGTTGGGGGCATGTGAGGGGCAACAGACTGATGTTTCTCTTTCTCCCTCCCTTCCCCTCTCTGAAAATAAATAAATAAAATCTTAAAAAAAGAGAGAGAAAGTTTGGGTCGCTAATGACTTAGCAGAGCAGAGGTACCACACCAGCCTTTTAAAAGCTCAGACTTTGAAGCGCAAGAGAATTAGACTTATATTTGTTTAGTCACTGTCAGTATTTGGGTCTTCTTGTGGCAGTCACACCTGTCCTCTGATGCTCTAGGCCACAGACTGAATGTGTGTGTCCCCCTAAAATTCCTGCGTTCACTCCTAACTCCAGCAGGTGGCAATAGGGGTGGGGCCTTTGGGAGGTGATTAGGTTTTGAGCGTTCACAAATGGGATTGGTGCTCTGACAACCGAGACCCAGGAGAGCCCCCTTCCCCCTTCCACCGTGTGAGGACCCCGTGGGGCATGGCAAGGGGGCACTGGCCCGGAACGGAATCGGCTGGCACCTTCCCCTGATGCTTCCTGACCTCCGGAGCTCCAGAAATGTGAGGATATATTTCTGTTGCTCATGAGACACCCATTCCATGGTGTTTTCGTTGTAACGCCAAACAGGCTAAGACACTTAGTAAACCACGAAGGAGCTCACAGCATCCAAAAAAGAGCCAGACGAATGTTTAGATTGTTTTGGCCTTGACAATCCAGAGCTCGTTCAGTCGCCTCTTGTGTTGCTTTGATATCCACGCATCATTTTGCTTTGTTTTTTATCTTGTTTACATTGATTTTAGAGAGAGAGAAAGAGGATGGGGGAGAGAGGGGGAAGAGAGAGAGAGAGAGAGAGACATCAATTCGGTGTCCCACTTCATGCATTCGCTGGCTGATTCGTGGATGCCCCTGACCGGGGATCAACCCTCCAACCCTGGCGTATCAGGATGACGCTCTGACTAACCGAGCTGCCCGGCCAGGGCCATCATTTTGTTTTTTGATTATTTCCTTACATTTGGCACAAATGTCCCAGGCTCCTCTGGTCATTTCCATGGCCCAGCCTTGGAATCAGCTGTTTCAAGACTGAGTTCTAGTTTGTTTAGTGGAGCAGGGTAGTTAGAAACCGAGATCTGTGTGCTGGGTGCGCTCACCGGGCTGCCACAGCGTGTAGGCTTGTGTGTGTACACGCACATGTGAGTTTGTGTGTATAGCTAAGCTCTACACGTAGTATCAACTTCTGCACCTCTATGTATCTAAAACCAGCAGTTTATACTGACATCTCTAATTCTAATTCAACACACAGGCTTTGCTCCAGGCGGTCCCCGTTAGCAGAGGAAGTTCCTCCCTCCTCTGACGGTGAGAAGCCACACTGCTGTCCTGCTGTCTCCACGCTTGTTCAGCCTCAGGTCCCTCCCCGGGGCTGGCCCTGCCACGTCCTCAGCCTGACCAAGGGAAGCGGGAGACCAGAGGCACTTCTTTTTTTTTTTTTTTTTAATATTTTATTTATTTATTTTTAGAGAGGGAAGGGAGGAAGAAAGAGAGAGAGAAACATCAATGTGCAGTGGCTGGGGGCCGTGGCCTGCAACCCAGGCATGTGCCGTGACTGGGAATCGAACCTGTGACACTTTGGTTTGCAGCCCGAGCTCAATCCACTGAGCTATGCCAGCCAGGGCCAGAGGCACATTTTCAGATGGTATCCACTCCTTTACTTTGCCCTGCTCACCACGCAGCCCCTCCTTACAATTTGGTTTTGCATTTTATCTTGCTGACAGACGCCAGACGCACTGACCTCCTAGAGAAGATATTTCCTCCTCATCGCTGGGCCGCAGGGAAGCCGGGGTGGGCTTGCCTTCTGCTTGAGGAGAGAAGGTGCTGGTTGAAGGGGCTGAACTGCAGGACGCCGTCGGAAGAGGACGCTGGAGGCACGGTCCTGGGGCTCGTTCAGCACCAGCACTGGGGGAGGGGTCCTGTCTCTGCTGCGGAGCCTGACCCAGGGTAGCTGCTCTCCAGGAGTGCTAGCTAACTCCCCTCCCGAACTCTGGTCCATCCTCAAGCACAACCGAGTTGCCGCAGCGAAAGCCCCCTCTGTGCGGGGCACTGAGCAGGAGGCCCTGCGTGTATTGTCTCTCCGTCATCTTCACGGCCGTGTGAGCCAGGCAGCGTCATGGTCCCCGTTTTACAGACAAGGAAACAGAAGCTCAGGGTAGTGACCGAGCCTGCCTGAGGTCACATGACAAGCGCCGAGGCCAGACCTTTGACCCTGGTCCACCAGCCACACTGTCCTGCTCCGAGCCCTTGACCGCCCGCGTTAGTGTTCTCTTGACCTTCGCCTGTCAGCCTGAGGCTGCCACGCGCGTCCTGGCTGGTTCTGGCTGTGTCCAGGAAATAGAGTGCTGGGCTCCCAAGAGACGTCAGTGACAAGCTTTTTAAAAGTTGCTATTACATGATATTTAACACAGAGGAAAATATGTAACATACACATGCAAGTTACAAAGTAGTGGGTTGGCCCAAAAGTCTGTTCTGTCCATTTTTTTTTTTCTGTAAAATAAAAGGTACATTTTTCATCTTCACCAATAGCTTGATTGATTTGGATATTTTCAGTATGTCGCTCTCCCCTGCTATTGGCTTCTAGTGGGCAGAGCCCAGGGGTGCTGCTAAACATCTTCCAATGCATAAGACAGCCCCACAGCAAAGAATTATTTGGGCAAAATGTCAATAGTACCAAGAAACTTCGCAAACCACTTCTAACATATTCAGTTAGTCACAGCACTTTCTCCACACACTGCACAAATCTCTTTTTGCATTTCAGTTGCATTTTTACCTTTCTTGAAGTAGTAAGGTATACTATGCCAAAAACGATGCATATCTTTTTTAAATATATTTTTTAAAGATTTTATTTATTTATTTTTAGAGAAGGAAGGGAGGGAGAAAGACAGAGAGAGAGAAACGTCAATGTGCGGTTGCTGGGGGCTGTGGCCTGCAACCCAGGCATGTGCCCTGGCTGGGAATCGAACCTGAGATGCTTTGGTTTGCAGCCCGCGCTCAATCCACTGAGCTACGCCAGCCGGGGCTCAAAAATGATGCATATCTTCTTCTATCTTTAATATTAAAATGGCTGTACAAGAATTCATCAATTTTGATAAGTTTTTTTTTAATGCATGCTGATATGACAATTGTCACAATACAATATACCAAAAGTGTTTCGAATGAAGTTAAAGACAACTCAGGGCTAGTAGAGCCATCTTATGGAAAAAAACTAAACAAACTTTTTGGCCAATGCAATATAATAAATAAAACAACATCCATACCTTCCAACTTTAAAATACACTAACACATTTTAAAAATTAGGCTTAATCTTTTATACTTGTGGAGATTTGTTGTGTTTTCAAAGTGCAAACCCTTCCCAGTCTCACCTTCTCACCAGAAACCCGAATACCCCCGAGGGTTAGCCAGCTGTCTCCCTCTGTCACCCTTCCTCTGAAGGTCGAGGCCTTGGCTGCTCTGTGCGGTTTTATTTTTTTTAATCACACTTACGTCAGCCATCCTGTGGGTTTCACCCTCAAAATGCATCTCATATCTGGTCTCCTAACTGGCCCCTCGGCTTGTCTGAGCCACCGCCACGGCGGGACTACTGCGGTAACTTCCCTGCTCCTCTCCAGGAGGAAACCACGGTGAGCTTTAACAGCGGGGGCGAGGGGGTCGGACTAGCAGATTATGTGCCTGCCCTGCGTGGTCTGAGCCCCAGGGACCATTTGTCCTTCCGCCTCCGCCCTGAATCCTCAGCTCTGACCGAGGGGCAGGGCCCCCAGGGCCCACACCGTGGGCCTCTTTCCCCGAGTCTCCCTCCGCACTCCAACGTCTGCACGCTCCGGTTCCTTCCGCCTGGAGCACGCTCCCCAGGTGCTCTGGCTCCCTCCCCCCTCCTCCCTCCGGCGGGGTCTCTGTGCGTTAGCATGTTGCCCAAGTGACCCTAGGACAACATTTTACAAGCATGAAATGAATGCACAGATAATAAAACCTACCTAAGTTCCCATTTTCACAAAACCAATAGGATGTTCTAAATTTAAGAAAGAAATACGAAGGACATGAATGGTAAGTAATTTAGTACGCATTTTCACATGTAAATGCGCCGGCAGCCGTCTGCACTTACACCTAGAGCTAGACAGTAACAAAGACGGGATGTGTCCACTCAGACTCCACTCCTGTGTGATTTCCCCAAACAGTAAACAGCTCTTGGTGGAACCCCACACCGAGCAAAGTATAATTCTCTGTGTACATAGCTCTTGAGTTCCTGAAAATGTGGTGAGTGATGAGAGATAAATCTGTGTACCAAATACCTCGTGTTTGATTAACAAACAAAGTTAGGTTTCAAGCTCACAGAATTGGAAGCGGATTTTTCACCTACATGCATGTCTTCTGGGACATTTCAGAGTCACACAAAGGGCGCCAGTCTTCAGCCCGTCATCCCTTCATCCGTCTTGTACGTGGCGGGATGTCTGGTGTCCCTGACACTGGCCAACTGGACGCTTGGTGTGCCCCCCAATTAATATGACAGCCAGAAAAAAAAAAAAAAAAAAATTAAAAAGTGTCCTCTAGGTGGCGCTACCACCCAGGGCGAGAACTTGAGCAGGGCCCTCGCTTTCGTTTCCTTCTTAGGGCCCAGCACTCCCAGACACCGTGGTATACACGTTTTTTGTTGTGTGTGGCTTGTGTTCGGGGGAATGTGAGCCGCAGGAGGGCAGGGCTTCGTTCCTTCCACGACGCATCCTCAACGTCCAGAACGCGCGGGCCGCAGTGGGCGAGCGGAGGAATGAGGGGTGCGCGGAGCGGCTTACTTTGCAGCCCTGGAACCCGACATTAAGGGGCCTGCAGAATCCTCGCGTACAGGAGGCAAGGTTGGGAGGCCGAAGCTGACTCACATCCAGCTCCCAGCTTTATACAGCTGTGATATTTTTGACCAGGGTGACCAACACGATCCATTTTGTTTTGTTTTTTTCTTCTGCTCAAATCACATTTTAAATGTCCCTTATAACAGCAGATGGTGGCATTCACTAAATGGCACGTGTGCAGCACTGGGACAAGGAGTGTTTTAGGATCTTTTGATCCTCTGGCAAACCCCTCGAGTGAAGTGCTATCATAAACCCCATTTTACAGATGTGGAAACTGAAGCTCAGGAGAGAGGCTAAGACACATTCTCAGTATCACACGCACAGCAAGTACCAGGTCGGGGTTTTGAATCCCAGGCACTCACGGTCCACGCGCAGAGCCACGGCCTATGCAGCCCTCTTGATACCCTCGGGAGCCCTGGACCCGGGTTCACGGTATCACTCGGCCACCAACTTGCAGCGTGACATCGGGCAGGCCACTTAGCCTGTGCCTCCTTATCCATGACATGAAGGATTGGAACTAGCCAAAACAAGCTATTTGACCAGAGGCCCCATAAAGATACATATTGCCGTCTACTTCAAGAGAAGAGATGCGACTCAGCCTTGAAGCAGCCAGGTGGGCCCCGGGGGGCCTGGAGTGGGCTCAGAGAGGAGGGCCCCCCACTGGAAGACCGGGGGGCCACTCTGGCCTGGAGACAGAACACCAGCAGGCAGGTGAAGGCGGGGCGGCTACTTTCTCCTCTCAAGGGCCATTGGAAGAGAGAAGAATTTTGCTGGGCTTCCACGTGCCGGAGATTCCTGGTGCTCCTGCCCCGTGGCGAGGGTCCAGGAGGGAGGTCAGAGGGGAGGGCTCCTCGGGGTGACTTCAGTCTTCAGTTAGATTCCACCCCGAGGGATGGGGAGACTGGGTGCACAAGAGACAGAACTTTCTGGAAGTCAGGGTGTGGATGCAAAATGGGCTGCCCTGGATGAGCAGGGGCCGGTCAGTAAATGTCGTCCATTGAGCTCCCAGCCGGTCCTGAGTCAGCCCTGCCCCACCAGGATGCTGGGCAGATGGTCCCTGAGGTCACTTTCAGCTTGGCCCGCTCCCACCCATGGCCCCCAACTGTCTACTCCTTTTCTTTTTGATTGATTTGAGAGAGGAAGGGAGAGAGAAAGAGAGAGAAACACTAGCTTGTTGTTTTACTTACTGATGCATTCATTGGCTGCTTCACATATGTGCCCTGACCCAGGGATACAACCTGAAACCTTGGCATACCAGGACGACGCTGTAACCAACTGACCTACCCAGCCAGGGCAACTGCTTCTTAAGGCTGCGATGCTCTTTTCTCTTCCCACTGAGAACCCCTGAAGGGCTTTCATCAGCGACGACGTGGAGGAAGCTGCTCTGACCTATTCTACCAGTGCTTCTGCGCCCAGGGCTGCCCGGATATTTCTGGCTCTCCCAAAAGAAAACAAACCTTTTCCCACTAATGTAAGCAGGCAAGATCTTCTACCCAACAAAACAAACCAACCTAGCTCCTCCAGGACAAACCCAGCTTTCCTAATACGGCATTATGGAGTACACCCTTGGCATCCAACCAACACAACAGTCCCACTCCCAGCAGGAGGGGGGGACCGATCCCAGGTGGCAGATGAAGGTCACACTCGCACTGAGGTGACTTCGCATGCTGGACGGGGGTGCGCTCTTCCTCTCGGGAGCACACCTGCACCTTTCCCCTCCTCGCTTCCTCCCCCAGGCGCCTTACCTTTGCCTTACTCTCTCCCGGGCTCCAGGGGCCCTCCTTCTGCCTCTGCAGCTTGCCTCCCCGGCCTCCGCAGCCCAGCTGGCTCGCTTCCATCACCTCCGTAACTTTGTAAATAACCTTTCTCTTATAATTTGGAAACAAAAACAAAAACCGATGTTGGACGGGGCTCTTCAGAGGTAGGGTTGCCAGAGGAAATACAGGAGGCCCAGTTCATTTGGAGTCTCCCACAGACAATGAGTACTTTTTTAAAAGTTTAAGTGTACCCCACAGCCCATTAGGGATACACTTATACTAAAAAAATTATTCATTGTTTGTTGGAGAGTCACATTGAACTGGCCCCCTGTATTTTTATTTGCTCAGTACGGCAACATTGAGGGCTGCCTATAAAGGCGGTAAAAAACAGCTGCTGGGCGGGGTGCGGCTCCCCCGTGTCCTTAAAGGCAGTGAGCACCTGTGGGCGGGGGGGGGGCGGGGGGGGAGTGGGCAGTGCTGGCCACTCAGGGCTTCAGCACGATGCCATTTGCATGTGAAAACTCAGCCCCATTTGTACTAACACCAAGAGAAACTGGAGTGGCTGCTACCGAGTAGGCATCACCATTTAAAAAGCTTCCTAGCCCTGGCTGGCGTAGCTCAGTGGATTGAGCGCCGGCTGCGAACCAAAGTGTCGCAGGTTCGATTCCCAGTCAGGGCACATGCCTGGGTTGCAGGCCATGACCCCCAGCAACCGCACATTGGTGTTTCTCTCTCTCTCTCTTTCTCCCTCCCTTCCCTCACTAAAAATAAATAAATAAAATCTTAAAAATTAAAAAAAAAAGCTTCCTATCTGGAGCGTGACATGAGTTTCAGCCTTTGGGAAGCACCTCTGACCTTTTGTCCTGGAGGGAGCTGGAGCCCGGGATTCCCCTCCGAGGGGTCCTTTGCAAGGACAAATCTGCAGGGAAGCTTTAGGCATGAAGACATTGGTTCGGCACGTCCTATAGTAGCTGCTGTCTCCCCGGATAGAGATGGAGGGAACTGTATCTGTAGTAACTGCTAGCACCCACATGCAGCGCTTTAAGCAAATCGCCGAGTCCTCACGAGAAGACTGAAAGTCGGAGAATAACTCTGTCCGGTAGCAGGGGGACTAGTTAAGTGAGTCGACGGCCTATCACCAGGCAAGACATTAGACTGTCATTAAAGCCAATGGCTGCTAAGGCTCTTACAGCAGAGAGGTACGTACGGTATGACGATGAGATGGGGAGAAGCAGGATGTAAAATTAAACTAAAATACCTATTTATAGAAAACACACTAGAAGAAAATGAATGTTGTGATTGTTAGGTAACTTTTTTTTCTTGCAAAGTTGCTTTTTTCTAAAATTTTTTAAATGAGTATATACTAATTTCATCATTTAAAAAATTGAAAAGTTACCTAGAACCTTTCCTTTCTTCCCAGGGATAAAAATAATATTTAATAAACGTCTCTTGAGTGCTAGGCACAGGCCCACAACAGAGCAGCTGGGATACGGAGTTGAGAAACACACACAGGCTTGTTGTCCTCCAGGGTCTAGAGCCACAACACTTTTATGTAGCACCAGCTAATCAGCCCTTCTAGGCTCACCTCCTCCAGGACGCCTTCCAGGATAACTTCTCTTTAGGGTCCTATACAGCTCTATACCCACTTACCTCATTTTCCCACTAGACCATGTGCTCTTTAAGGACAAAAACTGTGACTCTTTACTCTGACTCCCCAGAGTGTATAATTGGCCTCAAGAGATATTTTCTAGCCTGACTGGTATGGCTCTGCTGGTTGGGCATTTTTCCACAAAGCTAAAGGTCAACAGTTACATTCCTGACGAGGGCAAGTACCTAGGCTGCGGGTTCAGTCCCTGGTCAAGGCATGTACCAGAGGCAACTGACTGATGTTTCTCGTTGACGTTCCTCTCCCTCTCTTCCCACCCGCATGCCCCCTCTCTAAAAATAAATACGTAAAAGTTTTTAAAGAGATATTTGCTACATGAATGCTTTCTACAAACGAGTGGGGATAACTTGGTGGGGAGGTGTCCCTCACTCTCTTTAGTTTGTCATTTTGATTTTCTTTCCTTTCTTTCTTGTCTTTTCCCGGTCTGGCCAGCCTCTGGAGACTGGCAGTTGCCACACACACACAGACACACACACACACACACACAGACACACACACACACGTGAAAGGCGTTGACCTCTCAGCATGTTTGCATCCGGGGACTTGAGCTGACCCACTGGAAGTCTGAGACAAGCAACCGCTGGTTCACTGTTAAATGGCCCAATAAAGGCAACTTTATACATGCTGGAATTTAGCAGTCTGGGGGCAAACACAGGACTCCTCTAAGTGTTTAAAAAAAGAAAAGTGGAGAATTTATAAACAGCGTAACTGTTTCAAGCAGGGGTCAGCAAACCGTTTCTGGAAAGGGCCAGATGCAGACGTTGGGGGCTTTGCCTATGAGTCTGCCCCAGAGTGGGAGGGCAGCCCCAGACGAGATGGCAGCGGGTGGGTGTGGCCACGTGCCGATGAAACTTGATTTGTGGATGCCGGAATCTGAATTTCATGTAACTTTCACATGACATGAATTATGGTTCTTCGGATTTTCCCCCCAATCATTTAAAAATGGAAAAACCATTCTTAGCTCACTGGCTGCTTGAAAACCAGTGGCATGCGGGGTTTGGCCTGGCTGTAATGTGCTGACTCCCCATTTCCAGCATGGACTGGGGGTGGGGGTCCCCTGCCTGAGTGCAGCTCCAGCCTCACCAGCCACTCACTGGGACCTGGGGGGAGCACCCCAATCTCTCAGCCCTCCGGTTTCCTCAGGAAAACCAGAGGAAAACTGGAGGAAATGGCTGTGGCCCCAGCGTAGGGTGTCGGAGAATTGAATGTGATGCTGTGTGCACATGGTAGGAGCTTTACAAATGCATGCATGATCATGATTATTCAGTGGACTGAGTGTCGGCGTGCGCACCAAAAGGTCACAGGTTCAATTCCCAGTCGGGGTGTATGCCTGGGTTGCAGGCCAGGTCCCCAGCTGGGGGAGTGCGAGAGGCAACTAATGGATGGATCTCTCAGACATCAATGTTTCTCTCCCTCTCTCCTTCCCTTCCCCCCCTCTAAAAAGAAGTAAAATATTTTAAAAAAGAATATCGAATACCTGATTATAAATGATGATGATAACTTTGTGATTTATTTCTCCCCATGTATTGTTTAGTGCAATAGCTCTCAATTCCCACATGCACCCAATATCCTGGGGAAGACTGTTTCTATTTCTTGTATTTTTTTTTTTATTTTTTTAAGATTTTATTTATTTCTTTTTAGAGAGGGGAGGGAGAAAGAAAGAGAGAGAGGAACATCAATGTGCGGTTGCTGGGGGTCATGGCCTGCAACCCAGGCATGTACCCTGACTGGGAATCGAACCTGTGACACTTTGGTTTGAAGCCCTAGCTCAATCCACTGAGCTACGCCAGCCAGGGCTATTTCTTGCATTTTTTAATGGATTGTTTTTTAATTTGAGAGAGAGAGAAACATCAATTTGTTGTTCCACTTTTTATGCATTCATCGTTTGCTTCTTCTATGTGCCCTGATTGGGAAGTGGCTCTGCAGCTTTGGCATACGGAGACGACACCCTGACCAACTGAGCTACTGGCTGGGGCCTTATTTCTTGCATTTCTTTATGTTGATCTTAGAGGCAGAGGAATTTAAAAATTGTTCTCCCTTTCACTGCACATTTCCATCACTGGTGCATGCAAGGTGCCACCCTTGTTTATTTTTGGAGTCTGATTTTTCCTTTCCCCCAGGAACTCTGACCCTATTGGTCTGCACTGGGGGCACCGACAGAGGTATTTATTTTCAAAACCTCTTTGGCGATTCTAATGAGCAGCCAGGAAACCACTGAACTAGCGTCTTATTAGAGTTTCTAGGATCTTTTGGCTCAGTGTGGCCCATGGGCTAGCAGCATGGGCACTGCCTCCTAGGAATGCAGAGTCTCAGGCCCCACCCCAGGACCCTCAAGTCAGAACATAGTTTCGCAGAGTCCCAGCGACCCGTGCGCGCGTGTGAGCTGCAGAGGTGCACAGCTCTGGCGCTGGCAGGAGTGCCGGAAGTGACGCTGGAGACCCACCGCTGTTGATGGAATCTTGTTTTAGACCCAAGGAGGTGGGGGTGGGGGTTGATAAAGAATCAACTGCTGAGACCCTGACTGCTGTGGCTCGGTTGGTTAGGCGTCATTCCACAGAGCCAAAGGTCGCCGGTTCGATTCCCAGTCAGGGCACACGCCTGGGTTGTGGGTTCACTTCCCAGGCAGGGCGGTGTTTCTCACATCAATGTTTCTCGCCCTCTTTTTCTCCCTCCATTCCCCTTTCTCTAAAAATAAACAGAATCTTTTAAAAAATCAACTGCTGAGGCACATGTACTGTGAGTTTGCTCTTCCCTTTCCTTTTAAATCTGGAGTTCTCGTAAAGCGAGGTCGCTCTGCAGCTCTCCGTCTGGCGCAGCCCGGAGGGCTGGGCTGTGCCAGGAAAAGCAATTTAGGAGCTAAGAGGCCACCCGGGCCTCTTTCCCCATGACCCCCGAGGGTGGACGTCACTGGGCCTCCGGGGGCTGCCAGGGGCAGGCTGTGGATGGCATTTCTTAATATAGTTAGTCAACAGCTTTGTTTTCCAAGTGCCACAGAGGACTGAAGGAATGTCACCGCATGTTTGGAATGGAGGGCACTGGTGGCTTTGAGGAGGACATTTCCCAGGCCTGGGGAGGACAACAGATGTCACAGAAGGGGGCTAACGTGGAGACACAGCCCCAGGCACAGGCCCGGTCGAGGCTTTTTCGCCGCTTTGGCCTCGGGCATGAGTGTAATGGTGTGAGCAGAGAGCTGGCGTTGCCCAAGGAGAGAGGCTCTGGTCTTGCTGTCTGAGGAACCTGGGCTCGCCTGCCTGGCCGCAGGCGGAGCTCGCTGCTGCTGGCTTCTGCCTGCCACCTCGGTTTACTGGCCTCTACAAAGGGCACGTCGCTGCAAGCAGCTGCATTTCGAAACTCGATTGCGCTGCCTTGTTTCTCCGCGCATTTCCTTCCTTCTTTCCCCTGGAGGTCTCAAAAAGAGCATTCCTGTCCCTGCCTGTCTTTGTCTCTTCCCACAGCAACAGAGAATGGTGGGAAAGCCCAGCACGAGGGGCCAGGCCCCGCTCGGCCATCCGCATGTGATCCTCAGCTGGGCATGTCACCCACTGGGGTCCTCAGCTGGCAAAATGTGGGGAGCGCACACCCTTCTTTGCAGGGTGGCTGCAGAAATCCTTACAGCAAAGTATTAAGGTGTTCTTTGAAAACCAGGTTCAGAGCTCAGTCACTGTGTGAGAGATTCGTTCATTCATTGAATTGAACCA